AAGTCGAGGTAGCATCTTCTAAAGTTGCCAGTGGAGATTGATGAGATCGCACTGCCATCGCTCAATTGGTCGTCTGTCGAGACGACGTCACGTCCACGCGGGATTTCCAGCGGCGGTCAAACAATGAACTCGGCAACGGCATTGACAGCTGCTCCTCGCGGATTCAGATGTGGAGCACGTGCGCAGCAGAAGACAAAATGAAAGCGGTGAGAAAACGTCTTCTCATCTAGGGGGACGTTTACCCGAGGATACCTTTTGCTGACGATCAAAATTGCGTCGCCCTTTGGCCTGTGCCGCCAAACTGAACGCTAACACAACACCTAAGGACAAAAGAGGTGTCTTGCACTTTTCCAAATACGGTATTTCCTTAAAAAGCGGGCCCCGCTCTAGCTACCCCAATTCTCCGCCAGCTCCCCTCGAATACAAAAACACCACACCACGAAAAGACTACCCGCAGTGACCTTCCGAATAGTTTGCTCCGTTCTTATAGAAGCCATACCCTGATTAAATTGCAAGTTTCTCTTTCATGACAAGTGCCGTAGCACCAAAAATCGGCCGATGATATTTCCTTAAACGGTAGTCATGGTCCAGGTCTCCCGGAATATAAAAACACTGCACTCCCAAAAATAGACGACCGGCCGTATTTCCTCAAATCGTGGGCATCCTTCCCTCTGGCAGCCATATCCCAATGAATTAATCACCGAAGATGTCTCACTCCAAAACAGATCACTGGCAGTATTTCCTCCAACAGAAACCATGCCCCAAAAAGTCATTATTTGCCAGGTCCACTTGAAGAACAAACACCTCACTCCAAGCCAGAGGACAAGCGGCATTTCCTCAAATAATCTCCATTCTTACAGATGCCGTGCCATCATTATTTTCCAGATCCACTTGAATGTACAAGAACCTGACTCCAAAACAGATAACAGGCTGTATTTCCTTTCATAGAAGCCAAACGTCAAATACCGATAATCTGCTGCACCCGAAAAGAGACGAGCCGCAGCATTGATCACAAATCACTGGATTTGTTATATTAGAGGCCATACTCCAATGAATCACGACTTGAATAATTAAACACCGTACCCCAAATAGACACCCACTTGAAAGAAATAATAAGATTACTATCTCTTTGATGGAAGACGACAGCGACATTTTGATGTAGCCCGCACAAAACGCCCAGAGGTGTAGAAGGCGTAGGGGAAAGAAAAGTCACCTTTTGAGGATTCACATAGAAATAAAAACCATCAACTTGATCACTTTGTATTTTTTTTTTTTTTTTGCAAAAAAACATAGCCTGACGCCACCCTCCACACAAGAAACCTTCCGCTGCAGCCCAAAAAACCGAAGGACATAATCAATCGAATATCCACACTGGCAAAATGCACTAATAATTTGTTTTGTTAGGGGCCTCTTTTTTAATAAAAGCCATGCCCAGAGTAAACACCAGGTCCACTTGAATTCAAAAAATTAAATAAAATGCAGCACCCTAACCAGGCAACTGGAACTATTTCCTGGAATACTAGGCTATGTCGCCCCACTTAATTAATTGCCGCGTTCCACATAACAAAATGTCACACCCCGCGCAGACGGTCAGCAGTGTTTCGTCCCAACTGTGGGCTCTGTTCTAATCGAAGCCATGCCCCATTCCATCACCACATCCATTGAATCCCAAAACACCAAACCATGAAGGGACAACATTTCTCCTCACAGTGGGCTCCATTCTCATAGATGCTAGGTCTCAATAAATGATTTTCCAGGTCCAATTTAATTAACAAAAAAAATCCCCCACACTCCAGACAGACAGTTCATGGTCTTTCTTTTAATAGAGGTCTCCATTATATCGCAGTAATGCCCTGATTAATTAATTTTCAGGTTAGCTAGACTCCATTCTAACACAATGAATCACCACTTGAATAAAGAGAAGCTCCGGCACAAACCAATACCCTGTTTAATTAATCCACTTGAATTGAAAAATTAACACCGCGCCCTCAATTGACACCTCAATCTTCAGATGCCCCACCGAAGTAGAAAACAAAGTCGAGGTAGCATCTTCTAAAGTTGCCAGTGGAGATTGATGAGATCGCACTGCCATCGCTCAATTGGTCGTCTGTCGAGACGACGTCACGTCCACGCGGGATTTCCAGCGGCGGTCAAACAATGAACTCGGCAACGGCATTGACAGCTGCTCCTCGCGGATTCAGATGTGGAGCACGTGCGCAGCAGAAGACAAAATGAAAGCGGTGAGAAAACGTCTTCTCATCTAGGGGGACGTTTACCCGAGGATACCTTTTGCTGACGATCAAAATTGCGTCGCCCTTTGGCCTGTGCCGCCAAACTGAACGCTAACACAACACCTAAGGACAAAAGAGGTGTCTTGCACTTTTCCAAATACGGTATTTCCTTAAAAAGCGGGCCCCGCTCTAGCTACCCCAATTCTCCGCCAGCTCCCCTCGAATACAAAAACACCACACCACGAAAAGACTACCCGCAGTGACCTTCCGAATAGTTTGCTCCGTTCTTATAGAAGCCATACCCTGATTAAATTGCAAGTTTCTCTTTCATGACAAGTGCCGTAGCACCAAAAATCGGCCGATGATATTTCCTTAAACGGTAGTCATGGTCCAGGTCTCCCGGAATATAAAAACACTGCACTCCCAAAAATAGACGACCGGCCGTATTTCCTCAAATCGTGGGCATCCTTCCCTCTGGCAGCCATATCCCAATGAATTAATCACCGAAGATGTCTCACTCCAAAACAGATCACTGGCAGTATTTCCTCCAACAGAAACCATGCCCCAAAAAGTCATTATTTGCCAGGTCCACTTGAAGAACAAACACCTCACTCCAAGCCAGAGGACAAGCGGCATTTCCTCAAATAATCTCCATTCTTACAGATGCCGTGCCATCATTATTTTCCAGATCCACTTGAATGTACAAGAACCTGACTCCAAAACAGATAACAGGCTGTATTTCCTTTCATAGAAGCCAAACGTCAAATACCGATAATCTGCTGCACCCGAAAAGAGACGAGCCGCAGCATTGATCACAAATCACTGGATTTGTTATATTAGAGGCCATACTCCAATGAATCACGACTTGAATAATTAAACACCGTACCCCAAATAGACACCCACTTGAAAGAAATAATAAGATTACTATCTCTTTGATGGAAGACGACAGCGACATTTTGATGTAGCCCGCACAAAACGCCCAGAGGTGTAGAAGGCGTAGGGGAAAGAAAAGTCACCTTTTGAGGATTCACATAGAAATAAAAACCATCAACTTGATCACTTTGTATTTTTTTTTTTTTTTTGCAAAAATACATAGCCTGACGCCACGCTCCACACAAGAAACATTCCGCTGCAGCCCACAAAACCAGCGAGACGAGAAGACTTACGGAGTTGATGGTAATGGTGGGCTCCATGTATGGCACGCAAAGGGGTCCATTCGCGGGAACTGGACCGCGCCAAGTGTGGGAGAGCTCAAAATCCCAACAGTGACTGGGAGTCTCGTACCGTGACTCTCGCTCTCCCTCCCTCCCTGGCACTCTCTCTCTTTTTCTTTGGTCGCAACAGATTCCTCGTCTCTGTTTACCTCCCACCTCCCGCCTCCGTGTCTTCTTCATGCCTTCCCTTTGACGCCCACAGGCGCCATGGGAAAAAAAAAAAAAATCAGTCATGTCTAATGAGCAACAAGGGTGCAAAGCAGCTAGGACAGAAACACCAGAAAAAATTTCTTCCATTGACCCATTCCAACCCCTCCAAAAAAAAAAAAAGATTTTTTTTTCGTTCCACGTTTGTAATAAAGATAAATAGTGCTGTATATTAAACTGGTTTTATGAGGTGTCATTATAGTATTTACAGTAGGATTGGTTAGCTGGATATGCGCCTTTTAGAGGCATCATTTCAGAAGCTGTAAGTCCGCATCTGAGTGGGTGCGAGTCATGGCCCCTAGCAACTCCTTGTGAGCGTTCTCATTTTATATTTGTGTTTGACGTGCATCGGCCACGTGTGAAGGTATTATATTGCATGACAGTTTCTAGTCATCAACCGGAACCAAACCGTTTACTGCCACGACAAATATTATTGTCAAGAACAGTTTTCAACGGAAAGGCGTGGAAGAGGGTCTGTTTCAGCTTGCGCTGTGAAATTCAAGCTTCTACGTGACTGTAATGATGAATAGACGCCAGAAAATGGTGGCCTTGCATCGCCTTGGATTTTGGATGAGGCAGAGAATCTTGGTTTGTCACATTGATTATGAGGGAGAGAAATACCAATATGCTCCAAGTCAGACAAGTTGAGGCACTGCACACGAACATGTATGTATTCGGGTGTATGTGTGTGTGTGTATATACTGTATATATACATATATAGATAGATAAATCGATAGAGTATAGGGTACAAACAGAGTATGTATGCAGCATGGTAGGTGGTAGAATGTATGTGTCGCGATTGTCAGACGATGAAACAGTTGATGGAGTGAACTCAATTCAACTCAACTATATTTATGGAGCACTTAAAAACAACCACCACTGTATAACAAGTGCGGAACATGGAGTAAAAATTATTCATACAACAACAAACATCCATCCATCCATTTTCTGATCCTCACCAGGGTGGTAGGGTGTGCTCCTATCCCAGCAGTTTCGGGGAGTAGGCGGGGTACACCCTTAACTGGTTGCCAGCCAATCGCAGGGCACGCAGAGACGTTCAACCAACCGCACTCACATCGAGGGACTATTTCGAGTGTTCTATTAACTTATGGTGCATGTTTTTGGAATGTGGGAGGAAACCGGAGAACCCGGAGAAAACCCACGCAGGCACGGGGAGAACATGCAAACTCCACACAGGAAGGTCAGAGCCGGAATCGAACCCTGCACCTCTGCACTGTGAGGCCGACCCACTAACCAGTCGCCCACCGGGCCGCCAACAACAAGCGATAAAACAATAAATTAATAATGATGGTGGTCTGTCACCATGCACAGTAAATGTAAAGCTTACCTCAAGGTCGTCCAGAGATCTGGCCAGGCTAAGACGCTTTGAAGAGCGGCGTTTGGAGGCACGGAGAACACCCAAGCCCCAAAACCTGGAGCCCTGTCAGAACACAAGTTGGGTTCAATAATGCACTGATACCCTTTTCATAAAGAGAGTTAAGTTCCAGACCCACCAACGATAAGGGAGAGATAAAATCTATTTTTTGGTACAGTGTAAGCCTCAAAATAGCCTTCGTCACATTGTAATCACATTAAAATTAATTTAAACGCACTTGTAAACACATTATATATGTACTTTGAGAAAAAAAACTAATGTTGAACACAAAAATTTGTGATGGAGTGGGACCAGATCGCTGTCACGAGAAAGTCAGTCCTGGGCTGTTTTGCTAAATGGATCAACAGCTACATCTTGCGGGCGTGAGAGGTATAGCAAGACTTTGGAAGCCCACTTCCTGATATGAAGGGAAAAAAATGTCTGTAAAGAAAATATTGCACTCGAATCAAGTTGTCATTTTATTCGAATAAAGTGCTGATATTATGAGACAAAAGTATGAATATTGATAGGCAGAAGTCTGGATTTTACGCGTTCTATTTTCTGAGAATGAAGTTTTAACAAGAATCATGTCATGGAGGGGGAAACATGGAGACTTGTATTACAAGAAAAAAAATCATCATTATAAGTCACAACATTACAAGGGAAAGGCTAAAATGTTACAGTAAATATTATTGAAGTTGTAATGATATTAGTCATTTTATAAATAAAATTAAGGGGAGAAGTTGTACATCTGTGAAAATTATGCTAACATTCTAATCTGGTTTTGACATTTTTAACTGCGATACAAGAGTAAATAATTTTGGAGGATGAAATTAGTAAAATCTGAGAAATAGTCCAAATGCCCAAAATAAAAGTAAAATTATCAATATATCTCATAACATTGTATCATTATTCTCAGACAATAACTTTTTCTTGTGTCCGGACGTTGCTCATGTTAGACCCATTTTTCTGCTTTTATTTTGTTTCGTTTGACTCTGCTGTCTCCAGGGCGCCTCTGTTCTTATTTAGATCAATAAAGTTTAAACATATTAGTTTTTATTTACACACACACACACACACACACACACACACACACACACACACACACACACACACACACACGTTATGAAATGTAGGAAGCGGGCCTGTCATTTTAACAGGTCAAATGCCAATTTAGCTTGATAACTCACATTTTTCCCACGCTCATTCTTCCGGTGGACAAACGCTTGGGTCCATTCCTCTTTGGGGGGCATCATTAGAAGGAACTCGGCAGACCGATACCGCTCTGAGGGAATCTGGCTCATGACGGGCGGTAGGTTCCGCGCGCCACCAGCACCCAGGCCGACGCCAGCAAACCAGTTGTCATTGTTCCACGTCATCTGAGGCTCTGGGTCACCACTGAGGGATTTGGGCCACTTTGGCTTAGAGAACCAGCGCTGGCTACCCTGGAGAGGCTCTTCTGAGAGGCAATTTTTTTTCCCCAAAGGGGCTAGAGGAGGCGGGGGCTTGAACTGGAATTTGAGCCGAGGTGGAGGGCCTCCGTAAAAGTCGGTGAGAGAATCGGGACCAGGTAGCGACTCTGAAAGGGAGTGTGTGCTGCCACTATTCTCTGGATGATATCGTTGGCCATTATTGTAGAGGTTTCTCGGGATATGGTCAGGCGATCCGGGATTATCCCATGGACAGGTGGGGAGGAGGATCCCGTGGTGGTTTTGGATTACGGAAGGGAAATCCCTGGCGGCTCTCTCTTCAGGGGGCGAGGCATTGTCAATGCCACTGTCTCCGTTACTACTGGAGCTACCATGTTGGACGTTCTCCTTGGCTTGCTGCTGAGCCTCAATGTCCAGTTTGACTCGAAGCCTCTCCACCGCGTCCCCCATGTCGCTGTACAGGACTGTGACAAAATGAAGGACATCCGGCGGAGTCTGGGGGAACTCCAGGCAACCCGAGGTGTCTGGATCAGGGGTGCAGTCAAAACCAAAGCGCCCAGCGATGCCTGTGTGCTCCTCGTGGTTTCCCAGCTCCGGATCAATGAAGAAAACGTGGCAGGAAGCCCTCAGCGGAGCGTCTTGCGGAGCACAGCCATTGATTATGTGCGCGGTGGTCACCAGGCAAAAAAAACGAGGGTCCTCGGTGCAAACGGCCCCAAGGACCAGGTTCTCGGTGGGAAAGGCCGCCAGAGTGGCTCCCATGTCATCGCAAAGTCGGATGCAGTCAAACGTGATCTTCATCACGACCAGCGTATGGGTATCCTGCTCCGTGCCCAGCTGGCGTATTCGATCTCTGATGGCCTTCAAGCCGTCATCCTCCGACTGCGACGTATTTAAGATCAGCTCTGTGGAGCTCAGGTACCCCACCACCAAGGTCATGTTTAAAATGCTCCAGTCTGGATTCGCTTCCTCGCTGTCCGTCAAAACAGAACGGTGTTCGTCTGTTGGCACCTGCGTTTCGACGCTCTGCTGTTTAGACCACTGCGACATGTCCGGTTCCGACAGCGGCCTCTCCTTGCCAGCAAGCGTCTTGTGCCAGTTGTCGGAATTCGGTGAATCATGTGAGATGGCGCGGAGGAGGCCTGCCTTTTTCGGGCTTATTAAAAACTTTTCGTCATGTAGGATGGGGTTCCCGATGACGCGGCCCTCGGTGCGAACGACCAAGCGCAGTGGCCCGATGCAACGACCGATCATCTGCACCACGGTCTCGTGCAAAGCTGTAGAGACGTCGGCTCCGTTTATAGCCATGATGCCGTCACCTTGTTTAAGTCCCACCAGGTCGGCAGGACTTCCCTCCAGAATGCTGCTCAACAAGCATGGCCACTGTCCCGAGATGGTGAAGCCGTAGCCTGACCGACCACGGTGGACCTCCACGCGGCGCAGCTCGCCGGGAGTGCTTAAATCCAGGTGCCTCCTTGCACCCTCCGGTTGTCCCTGGATCCTCATCTTGATCGCCAACACTATTGTGTTGTTGTCATACTATGGTTACACAAAAAGACAAGGACAGTAAAAACTGCGGTGAAAATCTTGAACACGACAGGAGTACCGACCCTAACACCTAACTCAAACCCAAACAAAACCCTAAACCCAAACTCCTTATCCTAACCTGAACAACAACCATGAACCTAAACTTAACATAGATTTGATCGGCTAGATTGGATCAACAGATGTTTTGCATTTCATGTAAAACTGGTGAGCAGTTAAATAATTGTCAATCAGTGATAAGGCAAAAAAAGCTAACAGCTAACACAATTACGTTCACGCAGGGGAAATTCTCAACTGCCACTGTAAATAAAACAAGGTTTCTCAGCAGATAGACAGAATAGTTGGATTTTTTTTAATATGTTTAAATTTGGAGGGGGGGTCCGGGTTCCCCCAAATCTTTCATGTGGGGGGGGGGGG